GTCGAGGACAATATGTCCCCCCTCATTGTTATTTATGCCCCCCCCACCCACCTCTCAGGGGTGACGGGGAAGACAATAGGCCCCCACCCATTTTCCCTTAGGGCCCCCACGCGCCGCTCAGGGGTGGGGGCGGAGGTACTAGGGTTTTTGGGGTTTTTTAACAGTGAGCAGCCCCATAAGTACTTTTGTCAGCTATATGTGGACATCGGAGGGTTTTTTTAACAGTGAGCAGCCCCATAAGTACTTTTGTCAGGCTATATAATCCAAATAACCCATAAAGGCATACCATTCATTAAAGAAGACATCCCAGGTTATTTCAAAAGGTATATTTTGAACCTTAGCGTGGGATCATTTTTCCGCTAGCTTGTACCAAGTGTAGTGGTCGTAAGCAGTTTCTCTGCCTATTTGACATACAAAGTGAGTTTGCTCAGTATATTTTGCAAACCTTATGTGTGCTACGACATAATAATACTATAATACTATAAAATACTACATATGTTGCTCAGCTATGTCGTCTGAGTACAACAATACCCCCGTATGTACCTTTGCCAGGTATATATGGATGTTGAAGGGGCGCATTTGAGATGCAGCCATTCAGTTTTTTTCTAACTTTGAAGTTTTACGCTGTGTCCATGTTCCATTTTGGAGTAGTTTGGATGGTTGGTTATTGAAACTTCCCCACAAACACATACTATTTATTAAAGAATACACCCTGGGGTAATTCAAAAGGCATATTTTGAACCTTGGCGTGGGATCATTTTTTCTCTAGTTTGTTCCAGGTGTAGTGGTAATGAGCGTTTTTAAAATGTATTTTTTTACTTTTTATAACTTTTTTACTTTTAAAAACTAGTTTTTAAACTTTTGTTTTGCTAATAAATTTTTTTTAAACTTTCTTAAAGCTTTTTTTTTACAGATTTAACATTTTTATAAGTTTTTTTAACCCCTAACTAGCAGTTAGCAGCACTAACAGTAAATTCCCCACTGACCTATAACTCCCACCCACCCCAGCTAGCAAAATATATAATTATAAAATATTTAAATTAATTAATTAAATATATTGAACCTAAGGGTTAAAAAATAAATAAAAGTTAACCCTAAGGGGTTAAAAACAATCAGATCACAGTATAATACTGTGAATGTATTTTGATCACTGTAGGCAGTGATCAGCTGGCAGGGAAGGGGTTAATTTTTATTTGGACTGGGTAAAGGGGGATGTTTTTGTTTTTTGTTTTACTTAAATGTTATTAAAACATTTTTTTAAACTTTTTTTAACGTTAACCCCTAGCCTAACACCAAATTCCCCAATTCCAAACTAATTTCCACCCACCCAGGGTAGCTAAATATATTATTTTAATATATTTAAATTACTTAATAAAATTAAATTAAACGCTGAGGTTTACAAAAAATAAAAGTTGACCCTCAGGGGTTAAAAAAAATGAGGGGGGACAGAGCCTAAGCCTCATGCTGAAAAGACGTGCATCGGGTGAGCTCCTGCTTGGCTCACCAATTGCCGGGTGGTAATCGTCCATCACTGCACCCAAAACGGGATGACTCCAAGCAGCCTGAACTGGGGGCGCTGTGGGGAACCCACCAAAACCTCGCTTGAAACCCTGCGACGCTTGTGAAACAGGTCTGACTTTGTTCTTCCCTATACTGGAAATATGTTGGGTATTTTTTTTTTTTTTTTTGTCTCGCTTTCTTAGATTTTTATTTAATAGATTGTATACTTAAAGGGACCTCTATAACATAACACTATGAGAAACTTGTTTTCCTGGAACTATATAGTCCTTAGGACCTCCCCACCCTCAGGGCCCCCCTCCCGCTGGGCTGAAGGTGTTAAAATCTCTTCAGCCATTTATCCTAATCCAGCGCCGGGCTCCCTCGGCCCTGGTGACCTCTGGCGTCAGCTCCCGAGTGGAGCGGAATTTGCATGCACGGCCAGACCCCCGTGCGCATTCAAACTGCCCATAGGAAGGCATTACTCAATGCTTTCCTATGGACGTTCTTCGTGCTCAATGCGATTTTCGCATCAAGCGTTGCAGAAGCGCCTCTAGCGGCTGTCAGGAAGACGGCCACTAGAGGCTGGATTAACCCTCAATGTAAACATAGCAGTTTTTCTGAAACTGTTATGTTTACAGCTGCAGGGTTAAAACCTGGGGCACCTGGCACTCAGATCATTAAACTGAAGTGGTCTGGGTGACTATAGTGGTCCTTTAAGGAGCAACAATGATATCTCTTTTTGAAAGCAGCAGTAGGATTTGCAGTATATATATAAATCCACAATGTCCTTGCACTCTGGCTTCAAAAATGATTAAACCGGGTGCTTGAAGTATGGGGGAAATTGCACATACCAGAAGAGATGACCAACACTCACGGATTCCAATAAATGGTTAAAAAGTTATAAATTTATTGATCCATTTAAAAAGCTGCTTCAACGTTTCAGTCCACGTTTGGGACTTTCATCAGGAACAACAGCCAAAACTACAAATCACACATATATAGGAACAGTAATCATTGTACATTAACTTACCCCAGGTGTACCCGGTCCCATGAGTGCTACTGCCTGCGGCCCCAAGTGTCCTCTACGCATGCGTGACGTGCTCCACCCCCACTTTGCGTGACCACGTGGTGTCCATTTTCATGGAGACCCTAGAACACGCCGCGTCTCCATGGCAACCCGGCTACACACTAGCCGCATCAAAGAAAATAAAATAAAAAAGATGCAGAGCAGTGACAATAGAAGTACCCCGGTTCCAATTACAAACCATAAGGTTAAGAAATGAGTGTAATATAGATCATATAGTTAAAAAACACAAAGGTATAGGCGCTCTCTATAATGACTATAAGTACGGCAGCAGCAAACTAGCAGGGCTTCCCAGTACCTACTAATAATCAGAAAGGTGAAAGAACAGGAGTGGGATCATATAGTGCTCTAAGTACCAATTTCACTTAAAGGGGCAATATTCGCCACCTAATGAGTTTTAATCCGAATATTGCAACCAGTGTAATTATTTAGTGCATACTGTAATTAAATGTGCCTACTATATAGAAATAAAACAAATTAAGAATGTAGCGCTTATATGTAAAGAAATTAATCCTGATGAAAGTCCCAAACGTGGACTGAAACGTTGAAGCAGCTTTTTAAATGGATCAATAAATTTATAACTTTTTAACCATTTTTTGGAATCCGTGAGTGTTGGTCATCTCGTCTGGTATGTGCAATTTCCCCCAGACTTCAAGCAGCCGGTTTAATCTTTTAGAGTTTGGAGCAAAGTTTCACTGAAAAATCGGCAGGAAAAATATCTATAAAAGATAATCATACATAGTATAGATCACACTTCTATACATTTATTATTAGTAAATAATAAATAAACTCACAAACGGAGAGCTATGGACTTAGCTCTAGTTTGAATAGCCTCTGGGTCCATACAGGTGACCCACCCCTCCTCACGATATGTTTCTGAGGCCTGTGGATGAATAGAAATACACCCAATTGCGCAGTATAGTTTGTAATATCTCTAAGAATATATATATGGTCTTTAAGTGGGTACTCACAAGTGCTTTATCTCAATCCGGTTTGAAGAAGCCACGTTTGTAGTGGCGAAATGCGTCTCGGTATTTTTTAGCACATTGAGGCTTTTTTATTTATATATATGAGTGTATTAATAAAATCTTTTATTACTTTTAACGATCCTGGTTCCCGATATCGTTATATTGAACGGGGAGTGCAGTCCCGAATCTGCACAACGCTACGAAATTGAGTCAATATATCTTGACTCCACACTTGTGAGTACCCACTTAATTTGTTTTGTGTTAAGTTGAATAGGAATCTCTGAATGTTTAGCAGCTATCCACTATTATAAGATATATTTGTATTTAATATTTTCTTTTTTGTACAAGCTCTGGTTCCATTATCTATATCTACTACTATATAGAAATTGACTATGAAAGGTACATAATGTTAACAAAGGTGGTATGAAGTGCCATTAGTGCTAGAAAGTGCAAAAAGTGTTAAAAGGAGTACATGAACTATCAGTGCAGGCATATACAATTCTTAAATAGTGATTTATGCTTCACAGTACAACAAAATATGTGCCAGAAATATTGTGGCGTACATAAAGAGCCTGTTGTATCGGGCAAGTAGATCTATAGATACAACTATTATCAGTGCATATATAAAATACTGTGTGTTTGTTAACAAAACATGGAAAAGGTGTGGTAGGGGCAGTACATCCACACAAAAAGGTAGGCAACCTTGGAAATGGAAAACCAATATGGAGTATGGACATAAATTCAATGATCATAAAAAAAGAAAATATAACAAATCAATGACAATAAAGTATAAATCTAAAAAAGTCTAAATCTAAAAAATTTATTAAAAACATCAACTACAGGGGACTCATATAAATGAGTGATAGATCATCTCATTAAGTCCTTTAGGGACTATAGTGTCCAAGTTGTAGATCCAAAATGGTCAAAATTTTAATGGAGGTATATGATCAATAGCCACGAACTTAAGTGTTGACAATGGATGTTGAAAAGCCAGAAAATGCTTAGCGACTGGTTGATCAGAGGTACCGTCCTGATAGACTACCCGTATGCTCGATCTATGGCCCCTAATCCTTTCACACAAAGGAGTCTCAGTTTTGCCAATATACACAAACCCACAAGGGCAGGAAAGCTTATAGACCACATATGGAGTCTTGCAAGTGATGGTATAACATATCTGGAAGCTCCTGTTTTTATGTGGGTGATGGAAGGTGCGCGAGGGGGTCATATGGGTACATGTGACACAACCCAAACATCGTATACTCCCCCGACTCTGTACTTCAACCCTCTTTTCATAGCTTTTAACCGGGTCCGCGTGAACAAGTAAATCCCTCAGATTCTTGTTTCTCCGATAACAGATGAGAGGTGGTTCTTTAAAAACTTTTGAAAGCGTATCATCACACGCTATCATTTTCCAATTGTCCATAACAATTTTAGAGATAGCTGGTGATGCATCGTGAAAAGTAGTGGGGAAAACCAATCTCGGGGCCTTCTCATCCAATTTAGTCACGTCGGCAGACTTTGCCTCCTCTAATGCTCTGACTAAGTCTTTATACTGATAGCCACGCTCGAGAAATTTATCCACCATTTCTTCTAATTGCTCATCCATCTTGTTTATATCCAAATTGTTTCGGATTACTCTAAGAAACTGGGCTTTTTCAAAGCCTCTGGGTGTGTGCTTGTATTATGCAGAATGGTGTTACAATCTGTTTCTTTCTTGTAGAGACAATATGTAAGCCTCTGTTCATTTAAGGAAACATGTAAATCTTATTGGACTCTCCACTTGGTTTAAAAACTGTACCATCTCCATAGCCTCTGTTGTACTGCCACCCAGAGTATAAGCAGATTATCAATATACCTGAAGTAGCCTTGGATGTATTGACTGTATTTTGATAGGATCCATCTTTGCTCATATATATACATGTATGCGTTGGCATACATGGGGCCATAGCGGCCCCCATAGACGTGCCTGAAACTTGGCGGTACCATTTATCTTCAAATCTAAAGTAATTGTTACTTAAAACAAGAGAAAGTAGCTCCAAAACGAACTCAATAGGTGGTCCCTCATAAGAACTCGAGGAGGTAAGAACGGATCTCATTGCCTCCACATCTTGTGCATGTGGGATCACCGTATAAAGACTGCGTACATCCATTGTTATAAGAACCGTAGTACCACTCTTCAATTTCAGCTGTTTCAATTTTGAGATAAGACTGGGCGTATCCTTTATACATGTGTTGAGCTCAGATATCGGTGGCTGGAATAAAAAGTCATATATATTGTATTAGGTGTATTAATATTTATATTGTAACCTTATCTACATCTGGTACTGATTTTGGCATTATATTTGCCGCGTGGTTTTGGTATACTCTGGATCTGAGTTCTCCAAGGGTTTTATCAGTACAGCATTCTTAGTGAAATTCAGTTATTTTACTGTGACCCCAAACTCTAACACAGGACTGATAATGAAAACAATCACAGGAACCATACATTATTAAATAACTGGACAGAATGTTTAGAAAGAGGAGCTGGGATTATTGGTAACAAGAGAAATATAAAATAAGAGGTTTCTTTGGGTTTGTAAATTAAATAGAAATAACGTGAAAAAACAAACCAAGAATAACGTGCTGACAGTGATGTTATAAAGGGGTTTAATTACCCAAAGTGTACAGCAGGTTACTCTGAGGGCTGAGAGATCTCAACGATCTAGGAAATGATTGCTTTGTCCCCTTTTTGGGTATGGACCCTCCCCCTTATAGTGAATGTAACTAGCCTTGTGATTAGATGTTTGGACAACATTCAGACTCCACTTGTTGGATGACAGCTGCCTGGCTGAGAGTAATGGGGCCTGATATTTTGCTGCATGTTGGCCCATTGTAATGGTATTAAAAATAATTGGCCTCTCTGAATATTGTGCTGAGACTTTATTCAGTCACTCACCCACGGGCTGCGACACTTTATATAGTCTGTTAATGGCACTAAATTATCTGAAATTAGAGAATTACAAACCATGAGGAGGATTAGATAAAACGTGACATGGATTCAGTAACACAGGTTCATGTAAGACCGAATATTTCAAATCTCCGTTATAATAATAATAATAAAAGAAATGAAGGTGAGTGACTGCTTAATTATCTTTATTAATGTCAGAAGCCACAATGGAAATTACTGGGCAGCAGGTGGTGGCTTCTAAAAAAAGCAATGCTAGCCTCCTGCCTATGCTTTAATTTCCATATGGCCTACGGGCTATGCACATCTTTCATTCCTTCTGATACTTTGCTGATCTCTGGGACCATTTCAGATCTCTGCCGTCTGTCCTACATGTACTGTGTGCTCACAGCGAGGCCTTATAATATCACATTCTATACACTGTGGAAACTGAGAATTACTTTATTAGATATTTTAAAAAAACGAGTTAGAAATCACTGCAGTTCATCTGATGCGTTTCCTCCAGATTACAAATGGATTTAATTAATTTTGATTAAGAAGTTATGTGGAGTGTAATTGAATAGATGTCTTTTTATACTTGTTTGCTACTATTTTAGTTAATATTGATATAATGTATTCTCTTTAAATAACAAGACAAGCTTTTGAACACTTTGTACTTTGTAATGTATCCACTGATCAACCACAAAATGAAACCCACTGACAGGTGAAGTGAATAACATGGATTATATCGCTACAATGACACCTGTCAGGGGATGCGCTATATTAGGCAGCAAGTACAGCCAGTTCTAGAATTCCATGTGTTGGGAGCAGGAAAAATGGGCAAGCGAAAAGATCTGAGTGACCTTGACAAAAAGCAAATAGTGATGGCTAGACTCTGGGTCAGAGCATCTCTAAAACGGCAGGTCTTGTTAGTCTTGTCCTGGCAAGTCCCATCACACAGAATAGCTACTGTAGCTCCCAGTGGGCCGCAGCACCTGGGGCCGGTCAGACAGCCCTAAATTAGGCTAATGTCATTTAAATGATTTTCCCTGTGGGCTATGACAACTAGTGTCAGCCCGAGGGGATTAAAGAGGGAGGAGCTGGGGGCTGGTGCGGCCGCAATTGAGCGGCTGGTGCCTGAAGGGAGACCTGTCAGTCTCCCTTCACAATGCTAAGCCATTCGGCGTCGCCTGCCCCACCCCGACACTTAAGTCCCACCTCCTGTTCTAAAGCTCCGCCTCCCACATGCAAGTCCTGCCATGACACACAAGCCTCACTGAAAGGAAGAGACCAGATAATGTCAACTTCACCTACCATGCCAGGTAAGCTTCAGCCCATGCTAGTGATTGTGTGTATGTACAGTTGCACTCAAAAGTTTGCATACCCTTGGAAAATTGGTGATATATGAACCATTTTTAGAGAAAACATGAGTGAGCAGGCAAAACACATTTCTTTTATTTCTTATGGGATTCATAATCAACTGTAGGTTATATCAGAATGGCACAATCATAAAACAAAACATAGCAACAAATAAATAAATGAAATGACCCCTGTTCAGAAGTCTGCATTCCCTTAGTTCTTAATACTGTGTATTGACCACTTTAGCATCAATGACAGCGTGCAGTCTTTTCTAATAGCTCTCTATGAGGCCCCTAATTCTTGCAGGTGGTATAGCTGCCCATTGGTCTTAGCAAAATGCCTCCAGGTCATGCAAAGTCTTTGTTCGTCTTACATGAACCGCACGTTTCAGATCTCCCCAGAGTGGCTCGATGATACTAAGGTCAGGAGACTGTGATGGCCACTCCAGAACCTTCACCTTTTCATGCTGTAACCACTGGAGGGTCAACTTGGTCTTGTGATTAGGGTTGTTGTCATGCTGGAAAGTCCAATTGCATCCCATGTGCAGCCTTCGTGCAGAAGAATGCAAATTGTCTGCCAGTATTTTCTGATAACATGCAGCATTAATCTTGCCATCAATTTTCACAAGATTCCCCGAGCTCACAACCCTCAAAACATCCATGAGCCCCTACCATGCTTCACAGTGGGGATGGTATTCTTTTCACTATAGGTCCCTCTCCAAACATAGTGATTATGATTGTGACCATAAATCTCTAATTGGTCTCGTCACTCCAAGTTCTGGTGTGTCAGAAGCTGTGAGACATGTCAACGTGTTGTCGGGCATATTGTAAAATGCTGTTTTTTTGGGCATTGGTGCAATAAAGGCTTCTTTCTGGCAACTCGATAATGCAGCTCATTATAGTGGTATTGGGCTCCTTGAAGTGAGATTGTGTGTGTGTGGTCCTGTTAGTGAGTGAGCTTGTATGTGTATGTGTGTGTATATGCCTGTTAGTGAATGAGATTGTATGTGTATGTGTGTGTGTGTTCCTGTTAGTGAGTGAGATTGTGTGTGTTCCTGTTAGTGAGTGAGATTGTATGTGTATGTGTGTGTGTTCCTGTTAGTGAGTGAGATTGTATGTGTATGTGTGTGTGTTCCTGTTAGTGAGTGAGATTGTGTGTGTTCCTGTTAGTGAGTGAGATTGTATGTGTATGTGTGTGTGTATGTGTGTTCCTGTTAGTGAGTGAGATTGTGTGTGTGTGTTCCTGTTAGTGAGTGAGATTGTATGTGTATGTGTGTGTGTGTGTGTGTTCCTGTTAGTGAGTGAGATTGTGTGTGTGTGTTCCTGTTAGTGAGTGAGATTGTATGTGTATGTGTGTGTGTGTGTTCCTGTTAGTTAGTGAGATTGTGTGTGTTCCTGTTAGTGAGTGAGATTGTATGTGTATGTGTGTGTGTGTGTGTTCCTGTTAGTGAGTGAGATTGTGTGTGTGTGTTCCTGTTAGTGAGTGAGATTGTATGTGTATGTGTGTGTGTGTGTTCCTGTTAGTTAGTGAGATTGTGTGTGTTCCTGTTAGTGAGTGAGATTGTATGTGTATGTGTGTGTGTGTGTGTTCCTGTTAGTGAGTGAGATTGTGTGTGTGTGTTCCTGTTAGTGAGTGAGATTGTATGTGTATGTGCCCAAACTGATAGGGCTATCAGTAAGGTGCAGTGTGTACGAGGGTATCAGAGAGAGTAAGAAGTACTATAGAGCTCTCTGATACCCTCGTACACACTGCACCTTTAAAAAATGTGCTAACAATGAATTTGTAAAGTAAAATACTTATTATATTCTCTGATATAAATCAGCATAAAGTCATCAAAATGTCTTGAAGGGTTACTCACCAAAATGTGAATTTCTGTGAATTTAAAGTGAATTTTAAAATTTAGTTCATAATAGTCGAACTGCAAACACGACTGTTCTGGGAGAAGTTTTCCAGTTTTTCTGGTTTAAACTAACTCTGAAATTCACTCGGATCCCTTTCTTTACATAGTTACATAGTTACATAGTTACAGTGTCCATCAAGTTCAGCCTTTCTTAACTTCTGTTTTTGCAACCATCGTATTTCCATCGCCAACTTCCTTGCTATGGGAAGGAGGGGTGTGCAACATCTCAGGTCCAGCCCCCACCTTCCTGCCGTGGTTGTATAGGGTGTGGACTGGATATTGCACAATTATTGTGGAGGGCACCTTGATCAGTAGCTGACGAAAGAGCTGCAGGTTTGGTGAAGGAGACGGAGGGAGCGTGAATAATGTAAGTTAAGTCAAGAAGCAACTAAAGTCATGTTTTTTCATCCGTGGTGGGAATGCTGTCTTGGAACGTATGAAAAACATCTTAGTTGATATTCTGTATAAAGCTGATGAATACTGCAGCCATTGCTGCCGCCCAGGAGTAGTGGGAGTTTGAGTCCAGGGCTTTATTTTGTACGTTTCTATAAACCAGAGAGTGTGGACGGGCTGGAGCATAGAAAATGTTTCCTTTAAATCCTTTTACTAACTTCCTTTTCTTATTTTCCATCTTTCAATTTTTTTTTCATGTACTTTATTTATAAATTAACTTCTTGGGGCTCTGTGTCCTGTCTGTACACAACACTTTATTTAAATAAAGTTTAAAAAAACGTTGATTTGGGGGAAGGCTCACTCCGGTTAGTCCTGCAGCACTGCCAGGGTTAATGTAGTAACAGGTGCACTGGCCACATCGACACAGGACTTTAACCCGTGTATTGAGCAAGTTAGCCCAGACTCAGGCAAAGCAGCGTTTATGAAGGTTTCCTGTGCAACACGTTGGATTGAAGTCATTTTTTCTGTCCTATAGAGTTTTAACCCCTTAAAGACTAGTGAGAGTTTATGTCAAAGCTCAGGAACTGGGCCAATCAGAGCTCCGTAACTACTGTGGTTTAATTTCATTGCTTTCTTCTGGCTCCATAGAAAGTTATTGTAATAAAAAAAACAGACCCCACCTCCCCAAATAAATAAATAAAAATGCTGGAGGGGCTGGGCAGCATACAAACATAGTACTTTGGAGAGAACCAAAGAATATAATGTATGGACTATTTATAGGCTTTCACGCTATACTACATACGTGATAACATACATATAAAATTATACAAAAACCAATCAATGAAGTGTCCTCATTCCACTGGTAAGGAGCGCACTGGGCATGTGCCAACAGAATCAGCACAAAAATAACTCTCACCTCCAGGGAGAACAAAGTAAATAATTACACTTCATTAACTTTACAATGGATTGATTTATTTCTCAAGTTTAATTAGATAAACAAACTTCTATCGGTAGTTGAGTCATTCAGTGCTACCAGCAATCATTTTAACATCTAAAGGACAACTGTCTAAGCAACGGGACAACGCCCTGCGGGAAACTAGCAAAACAGGAACATGGCGAGGGGGGGGAAGGCACGTGCAACCTGGGCAACAAATTCATTGAACTCAGGTCCAACCACACCATCTAGAAAGTCAGAACCATTTAAACCAGATCGCTAAATAACAACGGGTCCATCGTCTCTCTAGCTTACCCACGAGCATGTTGTGTTTGTTTATTGGCATTAGATGACATGGGAGTGAAGCCTCATCGGCAACCATGGAGAGGATGGACGTCTCTGTCACAAATATTCTATTTGGGGATTGCTGGGTGTGGGGGGATTGCTGGGTGTGGAGGATTGCTGGGTGTGGGGGGATTGCTGGGTGTGGGGGGGATTGCTGGGTGTGGAGGGATTGCTGGGTGTGGGGGGATTGCTGGGGATTGCTGTGGAGGATTGCTGGGTGTGGGGGGATTGCTGGGTGTGGGGGGATTGTTGGGTGTGGGGGATTGCTGGGTGTGGGGGATTGCTGCGTGGGGGTTGCTGGTTGTGGGGATTAAGGTTGTGCAGGGATTGCTGGGTGTGGGGGATTGCTGGGCGTGGGGATTGCTGGGTGTGGGGGATTGCTGGGTGTGGGGGATTGCTGGGTGTATTGCTGGTTGTGGGGATTGCTGGGTGTGGGGGATTGCTGGGTGTGGGGGATTGCTGCGTGGGGTTGGCTGGTTGTGGGGGATTGCTGGGTGTGGGGGGGATTGCTGGGTGTGGGAGGATTGCTGGGTGTGGGGGCATTGCTGGGTGTGGGGGGATTGGTGGGAAGTAATGGAGCTGACTCTGTGGCGCTGTGTGCCAGGGAGTGTGTTTCTTTGTGTGCCTGTAAGTACTAATCTGTGTGTATAGATGGGAGTTTGCGTGTCTGTTGCTCGGACGTCTCACTGTGTGTCTTAGGGAACTTCGACCACTTTTTGTGTGATGGGCTAGAGATTGATGGTAATCCTAAACACGGTGCGAATACCTTTCCCAGTCCCATTAAAATTCAAATACATCACACATTATAACAGAGCCTGCCTGTTACAAAACCAAACAAATGACTTCAAAGGAAGTGATGTGCGCATGGTGAGCAATGTCCCAATATTAGCATAATAGAATAACTGCACTTCTTCCCTCACATACTTTTATTGTCTTGGTGTGTTTTTCCATTTATTTATCTTTTATCTCTAAGACAAAAAAACTGTATCCAGTAAATTATGGAGATTGTTTGCTTAGAGGTGAAATAGAATTGCATGCTGTATTTTATACAATGTAAATTAGTTATTACTACTTTATCTGCTAAGTAACCATCTATTTGATATAGAATGCCGAAAACTATTTTAGTTTATATTAACAATCTTATAAATAAGCAAACTGGGGTGGAACTGCATTCCTGAGTTGAAAAGGATAAATTAAAGTTCATGAAGATTTCACGTTATACTTTATGGGGTAGTTATTAATGCAGATTGAAAATCTCGCTTTCAGAGCTTGCAATCTACTGCTATTGTGTCTGTAAACTGCACAGCCTGAGCGGTGTTTAGCTCTGATTTCCTTGTAATTCCTGGATGCAGTATTTCCATTTGATTACTTTCCATAAGGCCCAGATATGGCTTTAAAGTGAAAAATGATCTGATTTCAGTTTGAATGGCTTTGTACCGGGCACAGAAGCGAGGGTTACATTTTGAAGATTTTATAAAAAAATTTGTGTTCAGTATCAGTATGGTTAGGTCTCCCAGTGTCCACGTGTATTTCTTATTAATTTAGTGCCTGTGTTTATCTCCCTTAGAGAGCCCGTTGGGAGTAGCGTCTGATACAAAGACTTTCTCACTAAAATTTAATCTCCATCAATCACAAGAAAGGAGACCACACTGGAGGTTGATTGCATAATTTGAAGGAGGCAGATTAAGCTTGGGAGAGATCATTGAGATCATTCAGGAGTATTCAGACATTTTGCCCTAAGATTGCGGATAACTTGCAGGTTGTAGAAAGTAGAGATACGCACGGTGTGAACTAGAAGTGAAAAATGTGTGGAGGATAAAGTCACAGAAATGCAGTGAAAAGATAAAGGCTTGAAGAGCGAAGACAAGAACATGGATGGAGATACAGACCCCACCATGCTGGATGAACCTGGAAGCATGCAGCTGGGACAGAACATAGAAATCTCACAGTGGGAAGGCAAGAATTACCAGGGAGGAACTAATACATTGGAAGCTAAATCTGAGAATATGAAGAGGACAACAGCGACCTTGGCAGAGCCAGTCAGAAACATGGGAGGTGCAAAAGAGAGCATGTTGGAGGAATCAAAGAGCATGCACGGAGACTCTGAGAGTTTGCCTGGCATTAATGGCCACGATGAAGGAGCCACTGTTAGGTGTATGAATCCAAAAAGCAAGACCATACAAGAGGAAGTAGATAAAATGTTGGGTGGACCAAAGCGCATACACAGAGATACTGAATGTTTGCAGCAGGTAGCTAAGAACATGGAAGAGAGAACTGAGGTCTTGGGAGGGGAAACCAAGAGCATGCATGAGATTGGGGACTGCACACTGGATGGAGCAAAGAGAGTGTGGGGAGATTGTGAATGTTTGCAGAGTGTGGAAAGGAAAGATGAAAGTAGATATGGAAAAAGGGAGAGTTTTCAGAACATGGTTGAAGAAAGCAAGACCTTGACAAAGGAAGACAAAAATATGGAGGAGGAGGTTGACAGGATGTTGAGTGGACCAAATAGCATGTTGAGAGATATTGAATGTTTTCAGGGGGTAGCGAAGAACATGGAAGAGAGAACTAAGGGCATGGGAGAGGAAACAAAGAGCATTTATGAGAAGGGGGAGTCCATGTTGGGTGGACCAAAGAAAGTGCCAAAAGACTGTGAGTATTGTCATGTAGTCACTGAGAATGTGGAAAGGAAAGATGAGATTATGTGTGGAGAGGGGGATAGATTACAGGGAGGGACCAAATGTTTGAAGACTGAATCTGTCAATATACTTTGGGAATCTGGGACCTTGGTAGAAGAAACCAAAAACAAGGAGGTGAAGGTTGGTGGAATGTTGGGCGGACCAAAGAAAGTGCCAAAAGACTGTGAGTATTGTCAGGTAGTCACTGAGAATGTGGAAAGGAAAGATGAGAGTATGTTTGGAGAGGGGGATAGATTTCAGGGAGGAACCAAATGTTTGAAGACTGAATCTGTCAATATACTTTGGGAATCTGGGACCTTGGTAGAAGAAACCAAAAACCAGGAGGTGGAGGTTGATGGAATGTTGGGTGGACCAAAACACATTGACAGAAACACTGAAAGTTTACATGGGGAGACTGTGAACATGCTTGAT